AATATTGCTTGTATTTGTGTTAGGTCTATATTCCACATATGAGAGAAAACATAGAGCCTTTGGCTTTCTGAACCTGGCTAACTTTTGCCAGTTCCATCCATTTACTTGCAAACGACAAAATTTCATTCTTCTTTATGGCTGAATAAAATTCTACTGTATGTAAATATCATATTTTCTTAATCCATTCATCAGTAGTGGGGCATCTTGACTGTTTCCATAGCTTAGCTATTGTGAATAATGTTGCTATTGCAACATGGGTGTGCAGGTGACTTTGTTGTGGCTTAATTTACATTCCTTTGGGTGTGTCCCTAGGAGTGGTACTGCTGGATCATTTGGCAGTTCTATTTTTTAGTTTTTTGAGGAACCTCTATACAATTTTCCATAGTGGTTGTATTAATTTACATTCCACCTCTTAAATGAGCAAAACATTGAAGTAATTTAGAGATTAAGAGGATGGTTTGAAATGAATACTCTCATTATTGCTGTTGATTATATATTAATATATTCTCTTTGAAAGTAATTTGTCAATCTTCAATTCAGAAAAATGTTTGATTTTGCAATTTTCATTTCAATTGAACTTTGTTTCAGTAAGTATCACTTCTGGGAAATAAATCCAAGTAAAATACTGTCATAACATATTAAAGCATAATATGAATAATATATTATAGTACTGTTAAAATAGTAAACACAGGAAACAGTCTAAAAAATAGAGTACAATTATTGATAAAGGGAAAATAGGATTGCACTTAGGATATTCTTATAAAGACATTTTAAATAGCCAAGTATTTATTCAGTTATACAAAAAGTAAAATAGACTGGCAGTGTGGCTCAAGTGGTAGAGTATTCAGACTGGAAAATGGCACATGCCAGCAAAGAGAAATCTGTCCCACATTTGACCACTCTTAAAGCCCTCTACTTAAATCTTCTGTTGCATGGTCTCATCTCATACATACATCAAAACCTAGAAATCAGATAATGACATGTGCAGAATGCCCCATTAATGACTAGAACCCTGTCCGATCAAACCTGTCAATTACCCTAGCTCCTCCTGCAAAGTTGCCCTTACAATTAATAAATTGCTTTTTGAACAAAGGCAATTGCCATTTGCAGAGCCACTCTCTCTCTGTGGCTCTGTCTTCCTGATATACTTTCCCTTTCCTTTCAATAAAACGTCGCTACTTTGCAATCTGTGCCTCTGTTCCCATTCTTTATTCAAGAGATGCAAGGACTTGAACTCTTCTTGACCATTGGTCTTCTGAGACCCACCTTCCAGAACATTCCCAGCATTTTTCATGTCCTCCGCTATCATGCCGAAAATAAGCCATCAATGGTAACTCAATTGTTATTGCATATACATTTTTTTTGAACACAGGATCTCACCAGATTGTGACTGGCCTTGAACTTGAGATCCTCCTGCCCCTGCCTCTTGAGTGTTTTAGGTGTTATTTTCATGGTAGAGAAATTCTACAGTTCATACTTTGTAAAAGATTATGTCAATTGGGAGGGATGTATATCAGATGACATGGGCTAAATGTCAACATTTTATTCTTTTAGTTTCTGTAATTGAATGCAGGTTTAATTTTGAATTTGTTTAATTCTGGATAGCTTTTTCCCCTAAAATTCCCCTAAAAAGAATGATTCATTGAAGGTTAGATGGTATCTTATTTGTTTTTCTCTTAATCTTATTTATTTGATCAATCCTAATTGCCCATGAAAGGCAAATTTTTCATATGGGTATACTTTGTTTCATCTAAATAAGAATCATAGGCTGGCATGCTCAATGAGAGCACCTGAGAAGCATACCCTAAGCAAACCTATCACCAAAATTATCATGTTGAAACATACAAGAAACTTCAATATCTAATGTTTAGGCCCACTATATATTTCTAAAAATAAGTACTAGGGCTATAATCCAAAATGGTGTCAATATTTTTAAACTATCCAAATAATAAAGAAAAATAAAAGAATTATATTTTTAGTTGGCATGAGAACATGGAAAAATGAGTTAGCCTGGTGGTGCATACCTGTAATCTCAGCATTCAGGAAGGCTTATGAGTTTGAGGCCAGCCTGGGCTACACAGTGAGTCCCTATTTAAAAAAATAATAATAATAATAATAAATATGGAAAAATGTTAAGGAAATAAACTCTGTATAGGCTTGAATATTTATTATAATCAGGACCATGTAAAATAAATTTAACATGATCATAGGCAGTTAAATAAATCTGTGCTACAATGGGATTGGACTTTGAGCACATGATAAAAGTGAGAGCACACAAGAGAGGGGTGAGGATAGGTAAGACACCTACAAAACTAGCTAGCATTTGTTGCCCTCAACGCAGAGAAACTAGAGCAGATACCTTAAAAGCAACTGAGGCCAGCGGGGAAAGAGGACCAGGAACTAGAGAAAAGTTTAGATCAAAAAGAATTAACCTAGAAGGTAACACACACGCACAGGAAATCAATGTGAGCCAATGCCCTGTATAGCTATCCTTGTCTCAACCAGCAAAAACCCTTATTCCTTCCTATTATTGCTTATACTCTCTCTACAACAAAATTAGAAATAAGGGCAAAATAGTTTCTGCTGAGTATTGAGGGGATGGGGGGGAGAGGGAGGGGGCGGAGTGGGTGGTAAGGGAGGGGGTGGGGGCAGGGGGGAGAAATGACCCAAGCCTTGTATGCACATATGAATAATAAAATTAAAAATAAAATAAAATAAATCTGTGCTGAACTATGAATAAAATGAACACTTAAAGAACTGCAAAAATTCTAAAATGCTAACCAGGTTTTCCATGAAGCATGAGAGAATAGATGAGTTTCTTTTTTCTTTATGCTTAAATTTCTTCTACAGCAAGCATGTCTTACTTTTACATTTAGAAAACCAAAAATATATAAAGACTATTTCAGTTGAAATCAATAAAAATACAACTCTAATTTATGCCCAAAAGAGATAGCATTGAGAGGAATAAGGGCGAAGAAAGTGAGAGAGAGGAGAGAGAGAGAGAGAGAGAAGAGAGAGAGAGAGAGGAGGAGAGAGAGAGGGAGAGAGAGGGAGAGACAGAGAGAGAGAGGTATTTCTGGTGATTTGGTCTCAGGCCCACATGGAAATGATATCATCAAATCTCTCTCTTTCCCCTCCCCAGTATCTCAGCTCAGACTCCTCTGTGTAGTGACCTCATTTTCTTCCATCTTTCAGGCTGCTAAAGAAGTAGGTTGCCCACAGCTCTAGGCTTACATCATCTGCTTTAGGAATCCAGTAGAAGTAGACCTCTCTTTCCCAAATTGCAAAATCAGTTCTGGAGAGTCTTAGAGTTCTCTTGGCCACATGCTCATCTCTAGTCTTAATTGCAGTGTTTGAGGAATAGTGTATTATGATTGGGTGAGCTTGATATGCCCACATCTGTCCTAGAGGACAGGATATGGTACTAGAAAGAGAAATAGCCTGATACCAGCCAAATTAAGAAAGACATCAGGCAGCATAGAATGTTATTATAGTTCACTGTCATCATCCACTCTTGCTTTCCACACATGCAATTCCAGAAATGTCCTTTACTGAAGTTAATGCAAATCTCCATGTATAGTTCATCTTCCAATGAAACAACTGAGTCTCATCTAGTGACCACATGCCTCAAACTCTAGGAACTCTGGGCCATATGCTTTCCTCTTGGTGAGACAGAGGTGGGGCTCTTAAGAGTCTTGCATTGAAAATTTCATCTAAATTTGCTTCCCTTGGAGTGAAATATTTTTTCAGTCAGTCAGTCTTGCTGTCATGGGTCTGCATTTATGAGGAGCAAATCTGCTTTACCCTTCATATCCCAGGACTGCCCTACTTGAACCATCAGCTTCTTGTTGGTCTGACTACAGAACTGAGCATTGTCTTAGACTTTAAAAACTCAAAAGTTTTATTTTCAAGTTGGGGTTTTCTGACAATACAACTCTCTCAGGCCTCAGCTGGATTTTTGCCAATTTTATACCTGGGGATTTCATAGACTATTACCAACACCAGAGATCTTACCCTGCCCTGGCAATTTCTGTCTCTTAGCAACAGATCTCAGCTTTGCCCATTGCTCTCCTAATGGCTAACCTGCCCCTAGCTATATCCCAGTGGGCAATGTTTTGCCACAGGTATGAATTTTATTTATGCTTAGCAGGGAATAATGGAATTGAGAGAAAGGGGCAAGGAAAACAGGGTTCCCTAATTTATAGGTTCTTACCAAGTCTCCAGTGTGTTTCCTGCCTCCCTTCTTTGTGTTAATTTCAGGTTGGAGCACACAACTCATGTCTTTTTTTGGAGTTTAGTTTAGCAAGAGGGATTATTATTTAACCTTCAGTGGTCCTGGACTGTTGACTAGAGGCAGAATGGGCTTCCCTGTGTGTTGTTGCTCATCTGCTTTCAAATAACTTAGATTCAAACCTATCCCTCTAAGCTCAGCAGATCTTCCTCACAGCAACTCTGTGTTTGCATCATCCACGTTAGCAGTATATTCAGAGAATAGGAACCATGTTTGACTGGACTTGGTCATGTGCCCATCTCTGAGGGGGCAAAGTTATTACTGAAGAAAGGAGAGGAGTGAGAATACATGCTGAAGCAGATTACAAACTACAATGTAAACTTTCTTTTTAAAAGAATTTAGCACTTTGTATAAAAATCTTCAAAGCTAAAACTATATGTGAGTAGAAACATTATAGGTTCATACCTTAATCTTAAAATTACAAGGTATTGCATGCAGAATGAGAAAAGCTGGACCAGAAAATAAGGAAAACAGCAGAGACTTCTTACTCTGTCTTTACACCATCAGAATCCTGTAAATATTCAGTGACTTCCTCAGCTTTTGTCTATAAACCTTCCAAATAGTTAGCACATGGAGTCTAAATTCAAAAGGTACTTTTGGAAGGTGCC